GGCGCCGAGCCTATAACCTTGTTTTATGTGTGATTCTGCCTAACCACATCTTATTTAATATATATGTTTTTGGTTCATTTACACTGAACTTATGGCCAACATTACTATAACTCCGGCCTGAATAAAGTTTGTGTAATACACATTTTCTCTATAAGGTATCATCACAGCCTTAGACGCACTAGACAGCTCTTCAGCAATAGGTTCAGGGGCCATTTCCAACATCAAGAAAAATGTTGCACTACAGTGTGAAAAGGACTTTTGTTCACAATATGCAAGCTCATACAAGCAGTAAGCAGAATGTCACCTAGTTGGACTTTTGCTGGGAGTGTGTAGATTTTTCACTGTTCTGTGAATCCCCACAAATGACCATGAAAGCATAGTGAGTATTAATTTGAGGTTTACAAACAGATTTTGTCAAGTAGGTAGACTCTCAAATGTAGAACTGGGAAATAGTGGAGATTAACTATACTATTATTATTGTCATTTTATGGATGAGGAAGCCAAGGGTCAGCGTGGTTAGGTGACTTCAATGTGCAACAAGTATTTAGTAATAACTTTGCAGCAAGCACTCTTCCAGATCTTGAGGTCACAGAATTGCCCAAGGTCACCCACCGAGCAGGGGGTGGAGTCAGGAGCCTATTCCTGCTGTCTCCCTCCAAAACCCAGCTTCTTAAGTGAATGCACAACGATCTCTTGGAGGGTCTGTCCTTTCTCCAACCAGACCCTGATGGGTGGTACTAGGGAAGTTGGGCACAGAGAAGTCCTCAGGGAATGTGTTATCCCTGCAGTTCTCACTGTCACCGGGGAGCCCTGCCACTTCCCCTTCCAGTACCACCGACGGCTATACCATAAATGCATCCACAAGGGCCAGCCAGGCCCCCAGCCCTGGTAAGACTACCTAGTAGGAATTGGGGCATGGGCCTGGGAGAGATGGATTCTACCCATCCTTCTGTCCAAGGAACTCTGCTTAGAGAGGGGAAGCTCCAAAGGGTCAGGTCCCTGGACAGAGCAGGGAATCCTCATCTCTTTCTATAGGTGTGCTACCACTCCCAACTTTGATCAGGACCAGCGATGGACATACTGCCTAGAGTCCAAGAAAGTGAAAGGTGCTTCACACAACCTCTGGGGTGGCACAGGGCCCTCTCTTCCCTCCTAGTTACTCACCTGGCTATCATAAGACCACACACACCAGGGGTCCCTCCCACCACAATACCCTTGAAGTCCAGAGGGAAGTTCTGGGAGGGGGTAGTCCCATTTTGCATGTGGGCAAACTAAGGCTTGGAAACATGCAATACTCACCAAGTAGGATCAGGGAGGGACTTGGCCTCCATCTGTCTGATTCAGGCTCCCTACTCCTCTTCCCACTGTGTCGATCTTAGACCACTGCAGCAAACACAGCCCCTGCCAGAAAGGAGGGATGTGTGTGAACACACTGACTGGCCCTCACTGCTTCTGTCCAGAACATCTCACTGGGAAGCACTGCCAGAAAGGTAAGGAGATACCAAAGGGGCACTGGGGACAGGGGCCACCCTGAGCCTATGGAAGAGGTCCCTAGGTCCCCAGAGACTTGGCACAGTCCAGGGCTACTCTGAGACCGTTGCTTACCTTTGCCCCCAGAGAAGTGCTTCGAGCCTCAGCTTCTCCGGTTCTTCCGTGAGAATGAGACATGGTACAGATCGCAGCTGGGAGGTGTGGCCAAATGCCAGTGCAAGGGGCCTGACAACCGCTGCCAGCAGTTGGCCAGTCAGGGTGAGCAGATCCGCTGGTAACTGGCCGGGGAGGAGGGATGGAGGTCAGGAGGAGACGCTGGAGGAAGCCCAGGTTGTGCGTGGGTGGAAGGGAGCGCTCTGTGGAGCCCTGGGGCAGCTCAGTGTGCTCCTTCCCCCAGCTTGCCTCACCAACCCATGCCTCAACGGTGGTCGCTGCCTGGAGGCGGAGGGCCACCACCTGTGCCATTGCCCCATGGGCTACACGGGACCCTTCTGCGACATAGGTGAGTGAGGGTCCCACGGGAAGCAAAGGTCCAGTCCCCACGTGGGAAGAGTTTTCGGAGAGGGAGGAGGGAAAGGGGGAAAGTGGCTGCCCGATCCAGAGGCGAGACAGTATACCCACCCTCCCCACACTCCCCACCTCCTCGAGTGCGGAGGGCTTGCTATCTCCCTAGACACTGAGGCGAGCTGCTACGAGGGCCACGGGCTCAGCTACCGCGGCATGGCTAAGACCACACTCTCAGGTGCACAATGTCAGCCGTGGACCTCTGAGGCCACCTACAGGAATGTGACTGCTGAACAAGCGCTGAAGTGGGGACTGGGCGGCCACGCCTATTGCCGGTGCGCTGGATGGGACCCGGCCTAGCATTCTCCTCCCCTGGCAGCCCTCTCGGGCTCCTGTCGCTTAACAGGACCACCTGCTGTGGTTACAGGAACCCGGACAATGACACCCGCCCATGGTGCTTCGTGTTGAGCGGCCACCGGCTGAGCTGGGAGTATTGCGACCTGGCACCGTGCCAGCCCCCAGCCAGGACAGCGCCTCCAATCCGGGTCCCCCCGGGGCGTCAGGACCTGCCCTTGCCCCCGCATCCGTCATTGCAGAAGCCTCAGTCCACGACCCAGACCCGGCCTCAGTCCCCGACCCCAGGTAGTTAGGAAGCGGAGGAAGTCTGAGCGGAAAGTTGCTCAGGCCAACTAGATTCCAGCCACCTGGAGGTGAATACCCAGGTTCTCAGCCTAGGTTCCTCCCACAGGTTTGCTCGCGAAGCCGGAGCAGCAGTCTTCCCTGCCCGGGACCCGCCTGCTCGGCTGCGGACAGCGGCTCCGCAAGCGGCTGTCCTCGGTGAGACGCGTCGTTGGCGGACTGGTGGCGCTTCCCGGGACGCACCCTTATATCGCAGCACTGTATTGGGGCCACAGTTTCTGCGCCGGTAGCCTCATCGCCCCCTGCTGGGTGCTGACAGCAGCGCACTGCCTGCAGGACCGGCGAGTACCCGCCCGCCCATCGCCCCTCCCAGCACCCTGGCTCCTCCACCCTCCCAGTTCAGCTTCCAAGACACCGTGCCACACCCGATCCCGTTTCCTACCTATTCAGCCCCATCCCTCTCTCTCCGCCCCGCCCTAGTTCCCCGGGAGAAAGAGGTTCGGGCCCCGCCCTAGTTCCCCGGGAGGAAGAGGTTCGGGAGCAGAGGGCTCCCCTAAACACTTGTGGAGGGCTTCAAGCATGCTACCTCCCCCGCACCCCGCCTGCAGGCCGGCGCCAGAGGAGCTGACGGTGGTTCTTGGCCAGGACCGCCATAACCAGAGTTGTGAGCAGTGCCAGACGCTGGCTGTGCGCTCCTACAGCCTGCATGAGGCCTTCTCACCCATCAGCTACCAGCATGACCTTGGTGCGTGAAGGAGCCCCCGTGGGGAAGGGAAGATAGGGTGGGAAGTGCTTGGGGCCTAGTGTCCCTGCTTTACGCTCTTCTCTGCCTGGGTTAGCTCTTCTGCGCCTACAGGAGAGCGCGGACGGCAACTGCGCGCTCCTGTCGCCTTACGTTCAGCCGGTATGTTTGCCGAGCAGTGCCGCTAGACGAGCCGAACCCAAGGCCGCACTCTGCGAAGTGGCCGGGTGGGGCCACCAGTTTGAAGGTAGACACAACAAGCTTGGGCGGGGAAAAACCTTTACCTAAAGGGATAGGCCACAGAATCCCACAACTTTTGTATCATTCAAGGTGCCTATAGGAGAGGTGGCGCCTCTCCTGATGGTTTGTGAGAATATGTAAGGCCCTTGTCCTGCAGTCTGTTCCTCCCAGGGTCTGAGATTCACTGTTGGGGCCCCCAAATCTCTGGGGGTGCAGGGAGAATCTCACTTTCCCTTGGCTCCCTGTGGGTGCTTGGCTGCAAGAGCCAGCTAGGATGCTGGCCCGGTATTCAGCAGCCCGCAGGCTCGTTGGATAGCCAGGTTCTGAGACACTAGGTGGGAGGTGGGAGTGGGGTTCCTGCTTCCGCTCCGCCCACTCAAACACAGCTCTTCTCTGGACTTCAGTCTCCCAGCCTGTGAAATGGAGTTAACAGCAACTCCCTCTTTCTCTGGCTTGCCGTGAGAGAGGAAGGAGGCGACTAGGTTTAGGAGCGCCTATCACAGCCTCATCTGTCCATTGTCTGGGCGACGAGCGTTGCTGGGAGGTGTGAGGAAGATGCTTTGTTTCGCAGGGGCGGAGGAATATTCCAGCTTCTTGCAGGAGGCGCAGGTGCCCTTCATCTCCCTGGAACGCTGCTCCGCCCCAGACGTTCATGGAGACTCCATCCTCCCTGGCATGCTCTGCGCTGGCTTCCTCGAGGGCGGCACTGATGCATGCCAGGTGAGCCTTTAGGTTCGGATATTATCTTCCCTTAACCTTATCAGGTACACACCCCAGGCTAAGGGCGCTGAACTGCGTGTTTCCAACCCAGGGTGACTCTGGAGGCCCACTGGTGTGTGAGGACGAGGCCGCTGAGCACCGGCTCACTCTTCGAGGCATCATCAGCTGGGGCTCAGGCTGTGGTGACCGCAATAAGCCAGGTGTCTACACCGATGTGACAAATTACCTGGCTTGGATCCAGGAGCACACTGCTTCGTGATTGTCCAGGGACTTGTCTTTTCCCCCTTCATGATTCCATAATGGGTCAGTGACCAGGTTGATCATGGACAGCAAAGATTGTGTTCCATTCTGTCTCCCCAACCCCCAACATCACCATCTCTGCACCAAGCATGGTGCAAAAACCCAATAAATGCTTTGAAAATACTGAGAGACTGCACTCTAGCCTGGGCAACAAAGTAAGACCCTGTCAAAAACAAGACAAAACAAACAACAACAACAAAAAGTCCTGAGAGATGGGTCCTTTTGGGAACTGTCAAGACAGAACTGGTACAACGGCTTCTCCACAGCCCTCAGAGAACAAAATTGATGAGATCTCAATGTGTAAGATTGAGATTGTCTAGCCAATGTTTACTGAGGCTCACTGTAGGATGCACTGTGCAAGGTGACTCTGCATATTTTCTTTATTTCTTTCTTCTTCTTCTTCTTCTTTTTTTTGAGACAGAGCCTCAAGCTGTTGCCCTGGGTAGAGTGCTGTGGCATCACAGCTCACAGCAACCTCCAATGCCTGGGCTCAGGCGATTCTCCTGCCTCAACCTCCCAAGTAGCTGGGACCACAGGCCCCCACCACAACACCTGGCTATTTTTTGGTTGCAGCCATCATTCCTGTTTGGTGGCTGGGCTGGATTTGAACCCACCAGCTCAGGTGTATGTGGCTGGCGCCTTAGCCACTTGAGCCACAGGCGCTGAGCCTGTGTATTATTTTTCTTTTCTTTTCTTTTTTTTTGAGACAGAGCCTCAAGCTGTCCCGGAGTAGAGTGCCTTGGCATCACAACTCACAGTGACCTCCAACTCTTGGCCTTAAGCTATTCTCTTGCCTCAGGCTCCCAAGTAGCTGGGACTACAGGTGCCTGCCACAACACCCAGCTATTTTTTGGTCATTGTTGTTTGGCTGGCCCGGGCTTGATTTGAACCTGCCAACTCTGATGTATGTAGCTATAGCACCTTAGCCACTTGAGTTACAGGTGCGGAGCCAGTTCTCAGTCTAGACTGTACATGAGATCATCTGGAAAGCTTTTGAGCCTATCTATGCCCCAGATCCATCTCAAGCCAATTAAATCAATTATCTCTAGGGATGGGGCATGGATAGTGGTTATATTCTTTTTTTGAGACAGAGCCTCAAGCTGTCCCCCTGGGTAGAGTGCCGTGGCATTACAGCTCACAGCAACCTCCAACTCCTGGGCTCAAGCGAGTCCCCTGCCTCAGCCTCCCAAGTAGCTGGGACCACAGGCGCCCGCCACAGCGCCTGGCCATTTTTTGGTTGCAGCCATCATTGTTGTTTGGCGGGCCCGGGCTGGGGATTCGAACCCGCTACCTTAGGTGTATGTGGCTGGCGCCTTAGCCGCTTGAGCCACAGGCGCCGAGCCAGTGGTTATATTCTTTTAAACTCCTCAGGTAATTCCATGCACAGCCAAGGTTGAGAACCATGATCAGGTGGTGTGGACCCTGAGGGCTGGCGACTTGAACTACCCTCATCCCCACTTAAACTCGCACTAGACCAGTGGGTGTCAAAGTTCCAGGAAACTTGCTAGACATACAAATTCTTGGGCTGCATCTCATACTACTGAAGTAAAAAGTCTAGGGTGGCACCCAGCAATCTGTTTAACAGCCTGAGTTTCAGCAGGTTCTAAAGCTGACGTTTGAGAACCACATTGGTGGGTTGAATGGTTCCCTTACGAGCGGAGAGATTCAGCTATCCAAACATGGCATCTTTTTGTTCTTAAACCCATCATTTCAAAGGGCCATTTAATTTGGTTTTCGAGCGTCATTTTCACTCATACACGATCCCCTTCTGAAAGCTAACTTTAGAACTTCCCCAGCCACGTTCTCCCATCTAAGAGACGCTCTGCTCTGTGACGCGGCCGTGTCATGTCACTGCTCCGCCCCCAAATACCTCGTAGCACCGCAAGCCGTGACACCCGCCAGTTCCCAACGCCAGGCAGAGAGGTGGACCCGGAGCGGGATGGGCGACTGGAAAGGCTACATTAGTGCGGTGCTGAGGGATCAGCGCATCGACGACGTGGCTATCGTGGGCCACGCAGACAATCGCTGCGTGTGGGCATCACGGCCCGGGGGCCTACTGGCGGCCATCTCACCGCAGGAGGTGGGCGTGCTCACTGGGACAGACCGGCGCACCTTCCTGCAGTCGGGCCTGAGCGTGGCGGGCCGCCGGTGCTGCATCATCCGTGACTACCTGCTGGCGGACGGCGACGGCGTGCTGGACGCGCGCACCAAGGGGCTGGATGGGCGGGCCGTATGCGTGGGCCACTCGCCACGTGCGCTCCTTGTGCTCATGGGCCGACGCGGCGTGCACGGGGGCATCCTCAATAAGACCGTGCACGAGCTGATCCGCGGGCTTCGCACACAGGGCACCTAGCCGCGCAGCAGGACCGCCCAGGGCGGAGGCAGCTGGAATAAACTGTGACTTGGCTGTGATGGCTCACTCTCCGGTTTCACGTGGGCAGTTGTAACTAAGGAAATTGGTGTATGGGAATGTCTTTCCAGAAGGGTAACGAGGTGGGGCTGGGATTATGCGTATAGAGGCTTCCTAGCCTCCTGTGCCCTGCAGAGGCCTCTAGCTGTCCTGCTGTTCTTTGGCACTTTCCCAGGGTCCTAGGGACTTCACAGCTGATGAAGAGTCCAAGGACCAGGGCCTACTCAAATTCTACCTCAGTTCTCAGAATTTACATGTTTCAGTAGGACAAACAGTACAGAGAGCCTCCTCCCCATCCTGCCAACATTTCTCCCCCAGCACACACCAACCAGAATCAGGGAGTCAGGTTGGAGGCCACTGCACCCCTCACCCCACTCCACTTGGCAGGGAGGCATTAGCAAGGGTTGTTAGTGGGTGACAGGATGGGGCTGGTAGCTTGGAAAGCAGTTCTGGGGTTCCCAGGCCCCTGCAACTCCCCAACAAATCTCAAAAGTGGGTGCCCTGGCTCTGCGCCTATAGCTCAACCGGCTAAGGCGCCAGCCATGTACATCTAGGGTGGCGGGTTCTAATCCCCAGCCAGGACCCGCCAAACAACAATGACGGCTGCAACCAAAAAATAGCTGGGCGTTGTGGCGGGCGCCTGTGGTCCCAGCTACTTGGGAGGCGGAGGCAGGAGACTCGCTTGAGCCCAGGAGTTGGAGGTTGCTGTGAGCTGAGATGCCATGCCATGGCACTCTACCCAGGGGGACAGCTTGAGGCTCTGTCTCAAAAAAAAAAAAAAAAAAAGTGGGTGCCCTGAGAAGGCACATCCCAAGACCATCACAGCTGGGTCTGAGGGTCTGAGGCCCTACTGCCTGCCTTTACCTTCCTGCCTCCTTGGGCTCCAAAGGCCCCAGAAGAACTCCTGGACTGGAGGGAGGAACTTTGGCATCCCTACCCTTGATCTCACTCTGCTGGTTTCAGCTGCAGGGTGCCATATGGAGGAGGAAGAATTGAAAAGCTTGAGTGGGTTTTAGTGAGTCCTGGCTTATTGCCAAATACAGAGGCCAAAGGTAGGTGGGAAGGTGTCTTGTTCCTGCCACCCTGTGTGCTGGGGCCAAGGACATGCCCTCTCTTGCCCACCTCCACCCTTCCTGTCTTCTCCCCCAGAAGCCCTAACAAACCCCACCTGTCACTTATCCTGGATCCCTGGTCTTATCCCAGCAAGGGGGAGTGAATGTGTGGCTGAGGTGGGTGAAGGCAGAGGGCAGAGACCAGAGGAGGACCAACCTGGTGGGGGACAGGGGATGAGGGTTTAGAGAGTCCTCCTTAGGGGTTACCACTTGCCTAGGAAGGGTTTCCAGGGAGTTTGAATTGTGGTTGGACTCACTAAGGCAGAACTAGGTGGATCATTGGGGTGCACTACTGGCTTTTTAAGAATGCATCTGGATAGGGCAGAGCCTGCTACTGCAGCAAGTCTTTGAGGGGAGAGGCTGTTGCTGGGCCCCAAGCCTTGGTCTGGACTTTCCCCATAGATGGCGAGCAAAAAGGCTTCCAAATGCATAAGGAGGGTTTAATTCTTTTTTTAATCAGGCAGTGTTGGGAAAGGGGGCCATCATGGTGGTGCTGAAAGCCTGGGTGAGGATGAGAAGGTATTATGGAGGGGGAGGGTGGCAGGGAAGATGACTCAGGCATCCATATCTGTGCACAAGCACACAGCTGCACAGCCACGCATGCAGACCCACCCTCACTCCTGCCCATTATAGTCACATGTACCTGAGGACACAGCACAGGTCTCCACACACACATGTGAAAACCCAAAATCCTACCCAGATACCCTGTCCTCTGCACACAGCCTCTCATAGGTGTGTCTGTGCACACACACAGGCTAGTACATATGTGTGCACAAATACAAGCTTTAACACAGGGATAGTTGGACACCCATGCGTGCCCAGACCTCTGTGGACCCACATAAAGTAAGACTGGCACCCAGAGTGGCACAGATACATGGGCACCCCCATGTATCCCTGCTGTCCTGGGCTCCATGCACAGGCCCTTCCCCACTCCAGGTGGTGGTCTGGATCTAGAGGCGAGTGGCACTATGGTGAGCAGGCAGTGCAAGGCGGGGGGAGGGGGTGGCAGGGGGCAGCTCCTCCAGGAAGACCCTGGTGGGCAGCGAGGGTGAGCGGGGCTCAGGTCTGGCATAGCACAAGGTGGCACGGGTGATGAGGCGGTCCAGGGGCTTCAGGGAGTGCATCCAGTGAGGCAGGAAGTCCCATGTCTGCAACCACTTGGGCAAGTGCCCAGGACTCCGATTCTGCAGGATGCTGACGAGCACCACAAAGGCCAGCAGGGCTCCAAAGGGTGCGCCCACACCTACCATGGCCTGCCAGCCAGCCATGGAAATGCCAAACACCAGTGAGGGCAGTAGCAGGAAGCACACGAGGAGGTAGAGGACAGCAAACCAGCGGTACTTGGCAGTGCGTTTGCCCAGCGCCTTGGCCATGCGGATGGGCAGGCGCGTGCAGGGTACTGGGTACCACAGAAGGATACCCGAGATGTTGAAGAAGAAATGGCAGAGGGCAATCTGCAAGGAAAGGGTGGGGCGGCTGAGGTGGGCATGGCCCTACAGCCCCTGAATCAGGCCAGCGGGGATGGGTGCTGGGGCCACAACCTGGTCTGGGCAGCAGGAAATTTATCCCTTAGAGCTGATGGGCCCCCAGATCATCCTGGGACGGCTGTGCTGGTTATTAAAATATCAAAATATTTCTGGACCAGTTGGTAAATTATTATTGCCATGAGCTCTCCTCTTTTCCCCCATTGACCCCTCTCTCAGAAATGGCCAGAGCTAGGCGGCGCCTGTGGCTCAGGGGAGTAGGGCACCGGCCCCATACGCCGGACGTGGCTGGTTCAAACCCAGCCCCGGCCAAAAAAAGAAATGGCCAGAGTTAAAGACTGCTATAGGCTTCTGGCTTAGCATCTCCGGAGTCATACTTGGTCAGTGCCCTGGCTTGTCAGTCCCTCCTTTGCTCCTAGAACAACTTCCCTTTGCTGCCTACTCCCAGCCCGCTCTACTCATCCTTGGTCCCCCAAACCGTCCTTGGTCCCACCATAATCAGCTCTTCCTCACAGTGTATGTCCAGCTCTCTGTGCTTACAGGTATGTTAAACACTGTCTCCCTGTTGGATGCTAAGGCCTTGAAGATGGCATCAGGTATACTTTGCCATAATGGTTTCCATAGAGCATGGTGGGTGGCCCTTTAGTAGATAGTCAAAAAATATGTTACATGGTCAAACCCTCTGTCAGGACCCACGTGCCAGTCCTAGCCCCATCCTGGGTCAGGCAGAGCTGGTCTCCCAGACGTACCTGGAATGAGCTGGAGAGCTTCTCCCTGGGGCTGGCCAGTGCTGCCAAGATGGCAGTGGTGGTGGTGCCAATGTTGGAGCCCAGTGTGAGGGGGTAGGCCCGCTCGATGCTGATCACGCCCAGTCCTGGGGAGCAGAAGGACAGAGCTCCCTGCCAGCTTTGCCCCAACCCCGCCCCACCCCACTCTGCTCAGCATGGGCACTCACCAATGAGTGGAGTGATGGCTGAGGTGAACACAGAACTGCTCTGGACAACGAAGGTCATGCCAGCACCCACCACCATGGCAAAGTAGCCCGTGACCCAAGTGAAGGGGGCAGGGAAGTCTGCAAGGAAACCCCATCCCAGCAGGCCTCAGTCAGTGGGGGTGTTAGGAGAGCAGAACTGCTGGGGCGGGGGCATTTGGATGCAGTTTCCACTAGGACCTCATCAGTGTCTGCTCAACTGCAGTGGCTCCCACTGCCCTCTTTGACTTTGGATGAAAGGCTTTTCTCCCATGGTTCCATCAGATTATTATACCTTTGCTCCTGCTGTTCCCTCTGTCTGGTGTATCCCATTTAGCATCTAAATATTCATTCTCTGGCTCAGCAAGGCTGTTACTGAAAAGCCCTCCCTGGCCAATGGCCCTTGAACAGACTTTGTTTCTCCCTTCTCAGAGCTCCCTCAGCCCAACAGTTGCCCCTTACTGCAGCATTGGTCATGAGGCCCCTCTCCCAGTGCCTGCCAGTATCCCAAAAACTCAAAATGAAGTTTCAGATGAAAACTAGATGGTGATACCCCTCTGCCCCAAGCCCGCTGAGCATCCCCATTGCCTTTATTAAAGTCAGGCTCTAAGCAGAGCCTGGAGGCCCCATCCCAATCCCCTTGCCGCTCCTGCCAGCTGCTGGCCACTTTTCTGTGCCACAGTCCTGCAAAGTGGGCTTCTACTTGCAAGCCTTTGCACTCACTATTCCTGCCACCCATCATGCTCTTCATCCACATCTCAACTACTCCTGAGGTCTCTGCTCAAATGCTATTGCCTCAGAGAGGCCTCTGACTGCTCACTGAAGCAGCCTCTTCCATACTCTCGCATTGACACTTTTTGCTGTCTCCTTGGCAATTGCTTCTCTTTTTCTGAACTTGTTCTCCACATTTGTTCTCCTTTTCCCCCTGCTGGGCTGTAAGTCCCCTGAGAGCAGAATCCATCTCTCTGCATCACCTCTGTGTGTATCCCTGGCATTTGGCACTCAGTAGGGATTTGATGACTTCTTTTTTTTTTTTTTTTTTTTT